CAACCTCAACATAAATATAGATATATCCCAGGGAAACAGCACATTTATGGCACCCGACTAAGGCACCCGCCTAAACACTACGTGTTACTAAATCAACCAAATGGCGATAAACGCACAAAATGCCATCAGGAAAAAGTCACACTAAAAAGTGAAACAGTTGGGGATGCGAATGGGAAAAGGGATATGAGCGTTTACTAAAACATTCCTATCTATCCGAGACTTCGTGAATCGGGTCAAATTCCTCAGCACGACTAGGTTGATGTTGACTCGACCGTGGACAGAAGTTGATCACACATTTTCTTCGCGTCACCCAACAACATGGCAGTGTTCTCATTGAAGAATACCGGATTGTCGACAGCTGCATAACCGACTCCCAATGTTCGCTTCATTATAACTACCTGAAAACATGGAAATTAATCTAGTGACTTTAAAGGCAGCGCTCTCGTTCATTTGATGTTCCTACGCCCTCCTTAGATATCGTAGCTTTGTCGACAAGGTGGAGGATGTACTAATTTCGCAGCTCAAAAATACGAGAGGATGGCGCCACCCGCTTGTGAAGAGGATGCCGCCCCGCCCACCTGGCTGCCATAACTGCTTTGGCTTAGCCTTTAAAGGCTGAGCCCGCTTATACGTGATCCAGTAGTGAAGAGAAAAGCAGAAAAAAAATCATGGAAAATGCCCTATATAGAACCCTATGCTGGCCAGGTGGGCGGGGCGGCCGACTCTTCACTAGCGAACGGCGCTATCCTCTCGGATGTGAACTAGTACATACTGCATCCTCATAGGGAGGGCTATGATATCCAGAGAGGGCGCGGGAACATCAAATGAACGTGGGCGCTGCCTTTAAGTGTTGCAAATCTTCTTTGTCTTACGAGTTTCTCAGCTGGAACATTTATTTAGTAAGGCCTTACGAGAGCGTTAGCTAGTTGTTACTTTGAGCGTGAAACGCTGCGAAACTAGCAATTTTGTCCCTTAAAAGCTCCTAGTGAGCTTAAAAAATTTGGCGTAATCACCAGCAATCTGCTTTCATACTTTGCTGCAGCGTCCACCAGCGCCTACCAGCGTCCACTAGCGTTCCGAGCGTCCGGCAGCGTCAGCGACTAGGAAAGTATAGATATCAATCTAGCGTCTGCCAGCGTCTACCAGCATTCAATCAGCAACGCGAGTAGAGAGTAAGGAGAAGTAGAGGCACCAAACAGCTAGATTAGGCGTCGTGAAATTGTGGCGAGTGCAACGCACCGCACAACTGCTAAAGCTCAGAATATGCAATTTAATGTACGGTGAAGTGTAGTTGTACTGTGCGGTTACACATGCCGCAATTTCACGACGCCTAATTCAGCTGTTCCGCTCCCTCCTACTTCCTCATACTCTCTGCCAGTCGCTGGTGAACGCTGGTGGACGTTGGCAGACAATGGCAGACGCTAGACCTATATCTACACTTCCCTAGTCAGGCGCTGGCAGACACTGACGTGGGCTGGCAGAAGCTGGTAGACGCTAGGTCGATATCTATACTTTCTTTATATGGATGTCTTTGTATATCTATACTACCTTCATATGGATGATCTTTTTCGACCTCTATTTGCCGCAAATCTATTCTGACGAATGCCTATCAATGCTATTTGGTCTGATATTACTATTGAGTTCTGCAGTAAGCTTCACGTCATAGGTGACCGAGCGCTGCTTGTAGCCCTAGGGCAAACTATGGGTGACGACAGTTACTTGCCGTGTACGGTAAGGAAACTGTAAGACTTGCTGAAACATCGGGAGATGCGAAGTACACTCATCCTATTCTGCAGTACTCTTACAACTTCCCTACCGTATCCCACTCAACTAAAGTACGCATTCTACAGCGCAGATTCTTATTG